CCATAAGAACTGGTATCTTTGGATGTACATGAAAATCCCTCTTAAGTTGCTCTTAAGTGTTATAATCACTTGCACCCACTCATTTTCATCACAGTGTTGACTTATTAACTAAAAGCATCACTTCTTTCTCTTTGCATGAGATATCTCCTTTTCTTGGCACTTTCTTTTTGTTTTTTTTTTTGTTTTTTTTTTTTTTTAAATTCACCTTCCTCCTCCACATGCAGAAACTTTTTTCTTGCTCCACAGTGGGACCACTGAGGGTTTTGACAGGCGTATTGCTCACCACTCAGGTTTCAAAAAGATAACAGATACTCCTTTGTTCATGTAACCTGATGGAATCCTAAGACATGAAGAGGTCTGGCAGCAAATAAACAAATCCAAAAATTACATCAAAAACATGATGTAATTCATATTACAATAAATTATGACACCAGTGCTAATACTAAGCTTGATTGTATGGCATGCTGTAGTGCTCTTTGCAAAAGTGAAGCTTAGAGGTGCTAAGAAGCATAAAATATGACGCAAGGTGGAAGTGATGATGAACAGAAAGAAAGGCAGAGGAGGAGAGGGATGACAAACAGAATGGATAGCTGCATGGAACTCTGGGTAGTGAACTCCACTCCTCTCGCTGGTCTCTGTGGGAGGAGAAGGCAGTGTCTGGTAGGCTTGTAGGAAAGATAAGCGAGCTATCGCTACACAGTTTATTAGGAATGGTGTACCCCCATTAATCAAGGAGCTGGAAAGATGGAGCATTCCACTCACCTTTCACTTTGTTTTTCGTTGCCGCCGCTGGAACAGCAGAGCACAAACATGGGGGAAAGGGTGAGAACGGGTGAGGAAAAAATGGAGGAAGAGAAAAGGGGAGAAAACAATTGATTAGAGTAAGCTACACTCAAACACCAGCCATCTAGCATGCTATTTATTCTGTTCTAAAAAACTGATTATACAAATAAATATCTCAGCAGAGTATGGTGCATTGTGTATTTGAACTGCAAAACTAATGCAGTGATTCCATTCACAGATTTCCTGAGATTCACATCTATTGTCATGATTGCATGTAATCTAATTTGATGGAAGTCGTCTCGTTAAAAGCTGAAAACTAACATATTCTTATTGTATGGAAATAAAATGAGACACAATGCATCTGTTCCACTGATAAAACAGTGTCAAAAGAAGATTTCTCCTGAGAAGCTTGGAGATTGGTTTGGCAACAATGGGATAAGAGTTGCCGTGTCAGATTGCCTTTGTGGAAAGGGTGTGACAGCTCAGACAAGCAGCAATGCTCTGCTTTGCTATTAGCTCCTGATTGGCTATTGATCACAAACAACACTCCGCAAAAACCTCCCAATTAGCAATGCACTGCATGTCTTTGATGCTTTCATGGGGAAACACGCCTGAGTAAACATTAACATAATTATGCTATTTGATCTTTTGATTTGTTTGTGTGGCTAGCTTTTGCACAGTCCAGACTTCCAAACTGTTCACTAGGTCAGTATGAAGACAATGCAAAATAATTTTGTTGTTTACAAACTTCTGTACAATGCTATTAAAAGCACAAAATGCTCCACGACTATACTCCAGGGCAAAAAAATGGGCCAAGTCCAAAATGGCAAATATTAAGCTTTTAATGAAAATTAGCAAGAATTAAACAAATGCACTCCTGAGAGCTCCTGTGGCACCATTTGCTCATTTACTTTTGCTGCAGTGAACTGTTTGGGGAAAAGCTAGAAACAGAGAAATTCACTTATACAGTCTTCTTGTAAGCAAAGCTAAAATCATGATAATGACTAAAATGTTTAATGTAAAATTCGAACTAACATGTCTGGGTCTACAAAATTTTCCAAAAATATCTTCTGGGATGTTTTTTTCTTTTCTTAAAAATGTAGTTATTATTTGGTTATCTGCCACAACTGATGCAGCCCATCAAGAGCCACAAGGATGAAACATTTAAAGAAATCAAAGGGAAAAGCTTCCCATACTAAGCTCCTTTATCTATTTGTTTAATTCTTGCTGATTTCCTGACCAATGATTTGTTGTTATGACCATTGAAAGCTTAATATCTTTGCCATTTTGGGCTTGACATTATTATTATTTTTTACCCAGGAGTGTAGATCCTGAATAGACTTAAGTATGCAGCTACAGTAAGCTTTGACAAAAGTGAAAAATAATCACCAGTAAATCACTACAAATGAAAGAATGACACTTGAGTCCTTTTATAACTATAAATCTTTTTATATTACAAATACTTTTTATATTAAGATTGACTTAATTTTAATCATCAGGCTCCTGATATTCTTCTCTTTGTGATCATCATAGTTAAACATATCTAGAGACAATAAAGACAATAGTCAGACCCAAATAATATCTTTCCTGCATGATGCAAGGACAGAACACCACAGCTCAAAGTCAAAAGGATGCAAACACATTGTGCTACATTAGAAAAGGATAAAAATCATATATGCTTAGGTACCACTTTTTAGCCTAGTCAGTTTCCACACATCAGACTGGGCTAGCTAAAGAATATCCACCCCTGAATTAATAGCAGTATTTGTGATAAGAAATCACACACACACACACACACACACACACACACCGATTTTCAGTGAGATTCTCCTCACCATGTGGACTGGTGCATTTCAATGAATACCAATAGAGCTACCAATTTTGTAAACCACAGAGCGTGAAGAATCTTAGCCAGTCCCACAGGAAAAGTCCTGCTAATCATTTTTCCATTCTACTTTACCAAGAGTAGAGAAAACAAAACTATGTAAATATGTGAAGAATTAAAGCAGTGTGATTGTCACATTCCTCCACTAAGCTTTTAATTGATAAAGGCTTCCCTAGCACACTAGCATATACACTAACTTAAAGGAAGAAAAACATTTCCTCATGTCAGGAAACTACACCAGTGTACTGTATAAACTAAATATTATTGCCTCAGTTTATTGTTCAATTCGGAGTCTTGATCAAACTTAAAATTTTAACATCATGCTACGTCTCTGAATGGAGTGCAGGTTTAAAGGTGTTATTAGCATGTTAGCTAGGTAGTTCTAACCAGCTAGCATGTCGTAAATATGAAAGAATATGTATAAGAACCCAATGTATCCTTATTATAGATAGACACCAGATATTAAAAAAAAAACCCTGATACAAAAGCAGCACAAACCTGACTTAATTACAAATAAGAGCACAAACATTCTACAGGTGCTAACTTAATGGCTAGCTAGCAGCAAAAAAAAAAAAAAATTGTTAACAAAGAATTGTTAGTGGATAACCAGTGTCATAAATTCAAGCAGCACTACACAAGAATTACAACTGGTGTGATAAAATGAATTCACAGGTTAGCCAACACAGTTAAATCAAACTATTTCATTTACAAGACTATGCTAACTAGCTAATTCACACAATTATTCTCTTCACAGTGTGTGAACAGTTAAGAAATGCTGAGTCCCATTGTAGTGGTGTTCAAAAGAGTCTTTCTGGCACAGCTGGAGAAACAAATTTGCGTTTATTATTCAAATTATTCAACAGGAGTTATGTTTAAGACTCTTCAAAGTTAACATTTCTTTAGAGGGCTAAAAACCTTTCTTAAAGGGGGCAGGGGTTTGGACTGAAACTAGCTGCTTTGAGACAGAAATTCAATTTTCCTTTTGAAAGAAATCCTGTTTTGACTAAAAATATACAAAGAGTCAGAAATCTCTAAAATATCTTTATCATAGTTATTCACTGCGCTTCTCCAGTAAAATAGTTTTTGATGCTTAAAGGAAAGTAAATATGCTGAAAGAAAAAAGAGAAAACTTTAGCTGGAGAATCAAACCAAATGTAAAACAAAACAAAAACTCATCTTCAAATCCAGTTAAAGTCTGTCTGATCAAAGATCTTCACCTTTTCAGATGTGAGTCAGCCTATGTGTCTGACCTCCTCCTTCTCACTTCCTTACCAGCTGCTGAAACTCATGAAAGTCACATAGCAGCTATAAAATAAGCACTGCATTTATATTCATATGATTCATAGTAGCAGAGTTTTTATGAAGTATGTTACTTTGACTTTTACTTGAGAGAAGAACCGTCAATTACTTTAACTTTAGTTAACTTTTTGAAAATGAACTGGTTGTAATTTCTAACCTAACATTGGACATTATTTTTTGAAGTGAAAAAGTGTCTTGTCATCTTTAATTTTTGGGAGCTGTATATACTGTATCTACTTCACATTCCCCAACCCAGCCACCCCCCACCCACACACACACACACTATTATAAGAACAGCATTATGCATGTTCATTCATGCAATTATTAAATGTTACTGAGATCACCATTCTGTACTCTAGAGACTCTTGTGTGTGAAAATCCCAGGAGATCAGCAGTTTCAGAAATACTCAAACTAGCCCGTCTCGCACCATTAACCATGCCACGGTCAACGTCACCAAGATCACATTTCCCCCATTCAGATGTTTGATGTGAACATTAACTGAAACTCTTGACCTGTATCTGTATGATGTTATGCACTGTGCTACTGCCATGACTGGCTAACTGGATAATGACTTGAATGAGCAGGTCTACAGGTGTTCCTATTAAAGTGGCCGGTGAGTGTAGGTGCATTGGAAAGTAAATGCTCTTCAACTGAAGTACTGGTGATCCATCTGCATTCAAAACTACTAGCAAGCACCATTCAAATACAACACTTATTCACTTATTTATGAACACCATATGACAGCCAAAGGAATGATTTTAATGCGCTAAAAATGAAAATAATCAAATTTGCATTTATAACACTGTTATGAATCAGAATGTCTAGCTTCTATGACTTTCTTATGAAAATGTCATGAATGTGCTGTTGGTAAACACAAATTAACTTGCAAGATAAGCATAAAGAACTCTTGATCGACCTACTTGATCATATTTTTGTTTTGGCACAATTTTTACGCCGGATGCCTTTCCCCAATTCTATTTAGGCTTAGGACCAGCACTGGGAGTGCATTGTCGTGTGCAACCCTAGGTTTGGTTCCCTGGCCGGGACTCGAACCCGAGCCATGGCGGTGAGAGGGCCGTAGTCTAACCACTAGTCCTCCAGGGACCTGAAGGCATTATGTAAGTAACATTCAAATAAAGTATTACCACACATCTCTCAGGAATCTTACATCTTCATTCAACAGGCATGAGTTAAACATTAATACAGGCTGTGGCGCAGGTAGAGAAGGGAGAGAGAAATAAAATGACCGTTGGAAGAGAAAGTGGACTGAAGGAGGACTGATGAGAAGACTCACATGAGAAGAGAGTCAGGTAATAGGGAAAAATAGGAAAGGAGAAAGGAAATTAGGAGAAAGGATAGTAGGGAAAAGATGAAGGAGGAGAAGGGCAGAGAGAAGGTCCTTTTGCACCCTATAGCAAGAGAGGTGATAAAGGTCTCTTGTAGATCACCCTGACACTTTCCTTCATCACCTGTGGCTGATGTTACGATAAATTATTCACTTGGCCTCCATTATTGATGTGGTGTTAGTCTCAGATCAAGAGGTGAGGACCTACTGTACCATAGGTGACAACTTCTAGCGGTGTAAATTAAACCAAGCTGCACACTAAAGCAAACTAAACAACATTCCTGCTTCCTAGATAGAGCCAGCACACTTCCACAGGGATATGTACTGGTCATGTATCTACAAATGACCCAATGGCCTAGTAGTTAAGATAAACTTCGGCGTGGGTCTGTTAGAAATAGCCTGGGATTAAAAATAAGCAACAATTTCTAAAGAGTAGGACATAGTACATGCAGACAAAAAGTAAAATGTTTAGGTATTTTGTCTATATTGTTAAAAAAAAAATCTTCATCAGCATAAGACGACACTGGAATTGGTGCATTTTACATTTAATTTACGTCAAATCATTGTCTTAGGGCTAATTTTTTTCCACGAAGGACTAAAGACCTAAATGCAATATTTAGCATAACATGTAACTGTTCTTGACTTATGTGCATAATATTTTTAAGCATTTAATCTTAAGTGAAAATTCCCTTGTTTGTATTTCTTCTTGATTTTCTGAACGCATTTGTATTTTTGTTTACGCACAATAGCATAACATGCACAATCAGCAACCATGGTCATTAGCATGTACTCCAGATCTAATCGCATAGTCTAAATAAATTGTAAAGGTATACTACATTGACTTTCATTACACTGTAAAGATAAAAAGCCATTAGCTTTGTAGCACCAGAGTGTTAAGAAAAGATAGTTTACTAGCTCATTTCGTGAAACTCCACAGATTCTGTTAGTTTCGTATTTCTTTGTCCAGCTGTTTGGATGTTTTAGAAGCTATCCTGGATAAAAAATTTTCTGATTAAATGTAAATGTAAATGATTCTGTAAGAATGTGTGGAGGAAGAGAGGAATCTGCTGTAGTCTTTATAGTGTCACCTTTGCCACTACAACCTTTGGCAAGCATATCACTGTCAGAAAGACTCAGTAGTGAAATATCAGTATGTTCCAACAACTGCACGACTCAATATGAAAGTTATGAAGTTTAAGCTTAGACAGAGTTAAAGGAAAATGACTTGCATATTGATCTTTATAATACATTTCTGATCTTCAGTGCTGTTTATTTTAAAATTTTAAAAGTTCTTTGATCAACATGTTAGCCCATTTTCACTTTGGTTAACAGTTTCATTACCCACGATGCCAATCGACTACCCGTTGATGGTGGTGCCAGTAAGAATTAACCCTTGCTGGGTCTCTACCTAAAGAGAGTGATGCAACAGCACTTTAGTCTGTCCAGCTCTCCCACCTCCTCATCTGTACACTCTGCTCAAACACTTCAGCTTCCAAAGCTTCAACTTTCATGCTAATTCCACCATCAACGCCATCATGCTTGTCATCTCATAGATCACTAACTAGTTGAGCCGAGTCTCTGCTGTAACACAGCACAATTGTGTTGTATAGCTGCACTGCATTCTGGAACTTTAAGTCCAATGTTTGCTTTCTTGACTACTTCTACATAGGATTTCTCATTAATATGACATTAATAATAATTAATATGACATAATATGGCATACAACTACTAACTTCTCACAAGAATAACACAAAATACAGCACCAACAAACAAAGTGGCACCAGAATCATTAAGCACACCACAGATATTCCAATATAAACATAATTAACGTGTTTCAGGGAGGACTTTTACCTTTATTCTTATGAAATTGAAAAAAACGGTATCAAATCCGAAGTCTTTCATTCAAATTTGTGCATTTTTTCCCCCCAGAAGATCAGGTTGGAAATATGGTATACATAATTCTACCTCAAAAGAAGCAAAGATAAGGGGGTAGTTCAGTCAAAAAAAGGTCAGTGTCAAGAGCTACAAACTGGCAAAAGCATCTTCCACGAGATCACTTTTGCATCAGATACCAACATACAGTTTTCATTGAGATAATAAATGCGTGTATCAATGGATCTCCATGTGAAAGCTTGGATTATTCAAATGATTTATACACATAAAAATAAATCCCTGTGCAACTGTGCAAAGTATCACGGACATTTGCATGTTCACACACCCACAACTCCTCACATGCAGAAACCCAAGTGACTCAGGCCATCATGTTGACTCCACTTGCTCTGTCTCTGATGCTGATTCACTTTTCCTGCAGCTAGGAGAAACACTCCACTGCACCCTGACTCCATTAAACTACTGCTGCTTCACTTCATAAACAAGAAAACGGCTAAAAATAGACCGTGTACTCACCCAGTGGAAAAGTGGAAAAACAGCTGAATTTATAAAGCCTGTGAGGAGTGTTCATCATAGATTACACAGATAAAAAAAAAGAGAGAAACTTGTTGACCATAATAAGAACCCTGGCCATAGTAGTGGGGTGGAAATGCATGGATATAAACTCACCGGCCACTTTAATAGGGATACCTGTTCATCTGCTCATTCATGCATTTATCCATTTATGCATTTATCAGCCAATCATGTGGAAGCAGTGCAACTCATAAAAGCATGCAGATAAAGAGCTTCAGTTAGTATTCCCATCAAAGATCAGAATGGCGAAAAAATGTGATCACAGTGACTTTGACCGAGGCGTGATTGCTGGTGTCAGACAGAGTATTTCAGAAACTGCTGATCTCCTGGGATTTACACTTGCAACACTCTCTAGGGTTTACACAGAATGGTGTGAAAAGCATAAAACATCCTGTGAGCAGCAGTTCTCTAGGTGGAAATGCCTTGTTGATGAGAGAGGTCAGAGCAGACTGGTTCGAGCAGACAGGAAAGCAATCTTTACAACCATCAGAAAAGCATCTCAGAATATACAACTTGTTGAACCTTGAGGCGGATGGGCTACAACAATAGAAGAGCACATCACCCCTGTCAGCCAAGAACAAGAATCTGAGGCTTAAGTGTGCACAGACTCACCGAAACTGGACCGCTGAAGATTGGAAAAAGACCAAGCAAAGTTTTTACAAGGTTAATATAAGGTTAATAATTGCACGAATGAACAGGTGTACAGGTTTTCCCCATTAAAATGGCCAGTGAGCGATTTATGTTAATTTCTCACCCACCTAATTCACTGACACTTCCCTGGTTCTTATGTTGAGCAACAACAGCAGCAGACACCAGATGCAAATGCCCCATCTAGAATAAACTGTGGACCTTCGGTTAGCTCTCTTGTGCGTAAACTAATGATGCGACAGCACACAGATGGCCAAGAAACAACAGAGCAGAAACAACTGCCCAATTACTCACCGCTCCCTGAAATTGGAGGACTATGTGTAAAAAGGGTTGTAATTTCTACACGGTTCATGGTTGGATGTACAGGCACTCAAATTATAGCAGGCAGTCACAGTCTGCACTTAAACTTTATAATTTATTGTTGAAGTTGAATGTACTGGCGTATACAGCCAAAACAACAAAAGCTGCATCACTGTCCAATTACTTACACACTTCCCTCTGTGGCCATTAGTGCACTTTTTAACGCTCCACTGCAATATTCCATCTCCTCGCTCCTTTGCCTTGTTCCTTAAATGTTTGAACAAAGCGGCATTAACATGTACCACTGTGACTACAGAGGGAAAAAAGCTGTTGCTCTATGCCTCTCAAAGCCTCAGAGGGGGAGCTAAAGCAATAGGGCCTGATTGCTAATATCCTGCTTGTGCTGTTTCATAATGGTAATTTGACAGGTTAGCATAGCTGCGAGCTCTCTCTCTCTCTCTCTCTCTGCTACGGCAACAGATTGTGTGCTGGAAAATAAATAGCATAAAATCAAATGAAATAACACAAAATAAAATCAGGATGAACCAGGCTTCAGGCTCATTAGCTCGGCGCTCTTGCGGGGGCAGCGGTCTAAGCTGGATGCTAAATGAGACAATAACATGCATGGATCACACACAGATATGACACAGAGAGAGCCTTCGCCATTTCAGCTATCAGTGCAGGAAAATACAGCCCCCATTATAAAAGCCCATCTTACAGTATTAATAGCGAGAGGTGGAACAGAGGAGCTGCTCGTTCTGCAATGGAAAATACACTCACAGCACAACACTTTATGCAGAAACCTGATAAACACAGTAATGACTGGATGAAGGCAGAATAAAGCATATGCAAAATGGCAGAGAGGAAAAAAAAAAAAAAAACGTTGTGCCTCACGCTAGAGAAATGTGAGCTGATGTGTTTATCCTGCTGCTTATTCACTGTGTGTCTCACGTTGGCCAGTTGTTTAATTTAACACGGCGTTCATAAATATTCTCTTTCTATCTCTGTCTGTTTGCATCTGTTCCTCTTTGCCTTAGTGTCTCTTCCTCTGTTCCAACCTCACTCCCACACACACACACACACTTCATGCTCTGATCCAAATTAACTGTAAATGCCGTGGAGATACGAGAGCATGAATAGTGGCTAAATGGTCTCCAGATCATTGTGAAATGCTCCGTAAATCCAGGTTAATCCTAGTTATTTCTTGTAAACACCACAAATGTCACAGCTCTGCCACTGTACGCTCAGGGAACAGGCGATTAAAGTCGGCTCAGTTGGACATAACACAAACTCTTCCTCATACAGCATGACTCCGGAAATTCACTTCACGGCTAAGCAATTTTGTTGC